CAGTGCTTCTCTAGTATACACTGAAGTAAGTTTTCCATCTTTAAAAGATACAATTTTTACTTGTGTTTTGATAGTTTTTGTTACCTTTCTGTTTAATTTCGTATGTTTTTTCTTGACTTTCTTTTTTTTGTGTGTTTATTTGCATGCCTTCAATTTGTGTTGCTTTCAAAAGACCAAAGGGAATAGAAGAGGGAGGGAAAGAAGGGGATAAGCACGAAGAGATAGTTCATGAGAAGGAAGAGGTAAAGGAAGAAAGAATTAATGAGAATGAGAAAGGGAAAGAGATTTCCAAAACGTGTAATAAGGAAAAAAACAGAGAATCAGGAGACGAGAAAAAAACACAAGATATACCCGAGCAAGGGAAAGAAAAAGAACAGTGGAATAAAGAGGATTTGCAAAGGAGATTCTCACAAGATGATTCCAGGTAAAATATGTTATTTTTAGGCATTTCCCATTAGTAGTGTAGTCTTTTTTACTATTCCTAAAAATTATTTTGTAATTTACATTTGCTTTATTTTCTTGTGTTTTATCTATTTAGTGTCTCATATTACTAGTTAATATGTTAGCAAACTATTATCAAATAGATTGATTTATTAAACAGTCTTGAATTTGTATCCCCAACTCTGATAGTCTGATTTATTTGGTTTCCAGTTTGTTATGAATAGCTGAATCAAATGTAAATTTCCCTGTATATCTTTTAACATGAATTACTATGTATCTTCTTTATCTGTAAGGTCTAATAAAGATCATTGAAAAGAGAAACATAAAAATTCTTTAGCAATATTGAAGACTGCTTTAGACAAAAATAAGGCAAAATTCCTTAAAATGAACTTCTGAAGTGGCTGAAAAAATTGAACTTATTTTATAAGAAATATTATAACTAGAAACAAACTTCAAAAATGAGTGAGAATATAGGTAGCAAACAGTAGAGTTTATTCTGGCTCTGGTTCCCTTGCTTCTTCTTAGTTTTCTAGTAGGTTCTAGTGCAGCTTGAGTCCTGCAGAAGATTACAAAACAGGGGCAGTGTTTTTTTTAATACTCTGAAAAGACAGAGTAGATGCCTCAGGGTTTATTAAAATGCAAATGTGGGGTTATGCCTTTCTTAAAGTCATTCCATTAGATAAATTTCTAGAGAGGAAACTTTGAACAGGGAGAAAGGCAGGGAAGAAATACAGGTAGCATGGCATAAAAACAACTATATTTAAATTTCATAGAGCAAGCCAGTAAGTATGAAGTTATCTTTACAGCATTATATATATTACATACAGTCAAATCAGCACAAGTGTGCAGTAAGACTTTATCCTCTGCTTGAGGATATGAAGTTGTTCTAATTATATTTTTATGAGCTGAAAATTGTAAATTATGTACATTTTGGAGGGATTGAGTTTTCCAGTAGTTTAGAATTTGATTTTGTGTTAAGCCTGCTCAATAAAGCACTTCCTAATTATAAGCAAGATTTTGTAACATTATATCTAAGCCCAATCTAAACTTCTGATTTTCTTACAGTTAGTGAGACAGATAATTGGGATAGATCTCTACCCATTGAGTATACAATTCAGTGATTTAGCTAATGTCATGTCACTTTTCATCTTAGATATATTTAACTATATTTGTGCTCTATGAAAGTTTCTCTATAACAGGCATTAAACATAAAAATGAATCTTAAGTGAGGCATATTTTATTATTTGAGTCTAAATTAGTAATTTCAAATCTGTCTTTGGTGTTTAACTTTGATAATTACATTAGTTTGCTAATAAAGATGACCATTTTTTCTGATTTCTTGGGCATAAGATTATTTCATCACTAATTCACAGAGAAAAACTTTCTAAGATGTCCTTGGAAAGAGACAGAGAGTTTCTTTCTTCCAAGAGCAAAGAAAAGAATGAGTCTCTAATGTGTTTTCTACATACTGTATAGATGAGAACACATGAGCCCATTTGTGTTTGCCTGGAGCCCAGAACCCACACTGGCATACGTGGCTTGCTGGGCAGAGATTCAGAGAAGACTATAACCTTAAATTTCTGATTTTTAAATAGAACTCACTTCACCATTTCTTCAAAAAAAGAGCACATTATTTTTCAAGGAAAAGGGAAAGATGGTATATTCTAGAAACGTGGTTCATCAAAGCCCTGCACTTAACTAAGTAACTGTGTAATTCTTCTAGAACTATAAACTAGAGGAGGCCAGGTTGATCTCTGTAGGAAACAGATACCTGGAACGTGGCAAGAAGTATCAACTGCAATTGTTTATAAGAAAATGTTGGTAGCACTCATTAATCATTGCAACACAGGCTCTTGGATTTGCCTTTACTTCTTAGAATAAATCTAACAGTCTTTATTGTGAGGGAAAATATGTTTGAGTATTCCAAGCATCATTTTGTTTTGGTAGTTGATTAACACAATCATAGACTGTTTAAACATTAATAACAACTTATGTTCTTGGAAAAATCTTATTCTATAATACCGGTTGGATATTTCATATCTGAAATGCTTGGGACAAGAAGTGTTTCAGAGCTTGGAATGTTTTCAGATTTTGGAATACTTGCATGTATGTAATGAGATATATTGAGGATAGGACCCAAGTGTAAACACTAAATTCATTTATATTTCATAAACACCTTATACACAAAATATTTTTGTGCGTGAAACACAGCTTGTTTGCATTGAATGATCAGGAGCAAGCAAAGACATCTATCTCAGTCACTCATGTGGACAATCTGTGGTTGTTTGGTATCATCACCATTTCTTACTCTGAATTTCTATGCTCCCAACAAGTAGTCACTTTCTTGCACTTATTAACACATAAGTACTTAACATTAAAAAATGTGACAAACTATTAATACAGTGAAAAGGTAATGTGTTCAGGAAATTAAGCAGCATAGTAGCATCACCAGAATTCCTGTATCAGCTGTTAAGCAATAGCAACAAAAAAACAGTGGCAGGCTTTTTGTCTCTCCTTACAATGTGGTGTTTTGATTTAAAGGTTACTGTTCATTGTGGCACTCAGCAAGTTTGAACATTTAGTATTTCAGATTTTCAATTAGGGAATACTCAACCTGTACATGACTGACATTTTATACTTTTCACTTGGAATCTAAGTTTTATTAAGGGTGGTGCAAAACTAATTGCAGCTTTTGCCATTACTTTTAATGGCCATTACTTTTAATGCCATTACTTTTAATGGCAAAAGCTGCAACTACTTTTGCACCAAACTAATATAAAGGAAAAAAAAAATTTACTTCAGAATTTAAATATTTATAGCAATGCTAGTACTTTAATTAACACAGTAACTACCATAAACAAAATCCATTATAATTGCTATTTTCATTAATTAGATCTAATTGTATAATACAGATCTTACTGCATGATTATGTTCATTTTATAGTAAGTCACATTACAGTAAGTCTACTGAATGTAAAAGGAGAAATGAATAGCAAAAAGTAAGTTCAAAAATAATTTGTTAAATGTTTGAATATATTTTTCCTAAGTTAACTAATGAGTAATATGTTCATACTTAGCTGTCTATATTTACACATATCAAAAATAAACATTTTTTAAAGTTTAATGAAATTAAGCATGTTAAAATTTCTAAGCCTGAAGGTTATGCAATTTTTTAGCCATGTGTGGATGGATGTTTGAGGATAGTTCTATATCCAAACAATGTCAGCAGGATGGCCTCAACAAATTCATAAGAATATTTGACGAAATAATTTGGTGCAGAAAGAGGCAATCTTAAGTAATTTCCCATGTAAGATAGAAAAAACAAATACTGAAAAGCATAGTATTGTCAAAAGCAACAATATTGGTAACTGTGTTCAAATTAAAAATCAAGAAATTGTTTCTCTATACACTTATAGTACTCAGGCATATCTATAAATGCTATAGAATTATCATTTCTCTTTTTTAAGAGAATTGCTGTTTTTGAGATAGAGAATTTTTAAGGAAAAATATAGCATCAGTTCAAATTTTCGTGAATAACTGGTTTTAAAAACCTTAACACCATTTCAATTTTCTAGCAAAAGATCTCATAATCTTTAGAAAGGCAAGCAGAGTAATTGTTAATGAAATATTTATCCAAAGTCATTGCTGTTAACATATTCTACATCAGAGTTAGTGTGAAAACAGATTATATAGCTATGTGATATAACTTTATATATACAGCCTATTTATGCCTATGTTATAGAATTTTAAAGGGGATGCAGAGGTCTCTTGAAAATAGTTGTGATTAGGACTCTAAAATACCTGGATTGTCATCCCAACTGTCATGTACACTTATCCATTTTGTCTATCTGGGCTTTTAAGCTTGTTAAATAGAGGAATGGATCTTTCAATGATTCACACTCCTTTCCATAGCTTAGATGAACATGGTACACAGCAAACAGGAAAGTGAGCATTGCCTATTATACTGACGATTTGCCTTTATTATCATGAATTCAAGAGGTAATTGGTTCTGTGACTAACCACTGGTTAGTCACAACAAACAACTGAATATAAGTTTTTACTATTTGGCAGATGTTTTCAGGCAGTATTTAATATTCTATTGATCATGCTTATTTATTGTTTTCTGAAAGTGTGTTTTAGTGCCAACTCATCCCAAAGGGCATGATGGGCTATGCTCCTCCACCAAGTATTACCTGTGGCTTGTGCTTTCTTTTTTGTTGTTTTTTCTTCCGTATCGCTAAGGCTATCTTCTATTTATTACCAATGAAAGTCTTGTAATCCCAAATACCTTCTACTCTGTTTTATATTTGTGCATAATACTCAACTGGGAACTTTTTAGAAGTACTTGAACATCAATCCTAAAGCTGTGATTCTGTATTTGTAAAACACCACAGGTGATTATAATGCAAGTAATGTGTAGATGCTATCCCTCCTCTCTTTTGGGTTGCTTGTATTTACTAAGGAAATTTCAGATCAGCTTGTCAATTCAGGAGGGAAAATTTCTGGGATTTTGATAGAGACTGTGTTCAGTTAGATCAATTTGAGGATTGTTGCTGTTATAAGAATGTTAAGTCTTCTAATCCATGAGCATGAAATGTTGTTCCATTTATTTATTTTTTTCTGCCCCATATGATCTGCAGAAAACATTTATTTTTTTCTTTACTTTCTTTTTTTTTTTTTTTTGAGACAGGATCTCTGTGACTCAGGCTGAAGTGCAGTGGTGCAATCATGGCCTACTGCAGCCTCAGTCCCCCCTGGCTCAGATGATTTTCCCACCTCAGATTCCTGAATAGTTGTGACTACAGGGGCATGCCACTACACCCAGCTATTTTTTTTTTTCTTTGCTTTTTTTGTAGAATCAGGGTTTGGCCATGTTGCCTGGGCTGGTTTTGAACTCCTGGGCTCAAGCAATCCTCCCACCCCAGCCTCCCAAGGGGCTGGGATTATGGGTGTGATCTACTATAAATGACTTCTTTACTTTCTTGCAATGATGTTTTGTAGTTTTCAGTATTTACATCTTATACTTCTTTTTTTAAATTTATTCTAAGTATTTTGCTTAGATGCTATTGTAAATGGAATTGTTTTATTACTTTTATTTTTCTTTGTTCATTGCTAGTGTTTAGAAATACAATTAATTTTTTATGTTGATCGTGTATCCTACAACTTTGCTTTACTCATTTATTAGCTCTAATAGCTTTTTGTTGATTCCTTAGAATTTTCTACATAGGATATCATATTATCTGCATTTAAAGATTTTTTTCTTTTCTTTTCTTTCTTTTTAATTATACTTGAAGTTCTAGGATGCATGTGCAAAATGTGCAGGCTTGTTACATAGGTATACACATGGCCTGGTGGTTTGCTGCACCCATCAACCCATCATCTACATTAGGTATTTCTCCTAATGCTGTCTTTCTCCTAGTCCCCCACACTCTACAGGCCCCAATGTGTGATATTCCCCTCCCTGTGTCCATGTGTTCTCATTGTTCAACTCCCACTTATGAGTGAGAACATGCAGTGTTTCGTTTTCTGTTCTTGTGTCAGTTTGCTGAGTATGGTTTCTGGCTTCATCCATGTCCCTGCAAAGGACATGAACTCATCCTTTTTATGGCTGTATTGTATTCCATGGTGTATATGTGCCACATTTTCTTTATTCAGTCTATCATTGACGGGCATTTGGGTTGGTTCCAAGTCCTTGCTATTGTGAACAGTGCCACAATAAACATACATGTGCTTGTGTCTTTATAATAGAATGATTTATAATCCCTTGGGTATATACCCAGTAATGGGATTGCTGGGTCAAATGGTATTTCTAGTTCTAGATCCTTGAGGAATGACCACACTGTCTTCACCATGGTTGAACTAATTTACACTCCCACCAACAGTGTGAAAGCGTTCCTATTTCTCCACATTCTCTCTAGCATCCGTTGTTTTCTGACTTTTTAATGATCGTCATTCTAACTGGCGTGAGATGGTATTTCAATGTGGTTTTGATTTGCATTTCTCTAATGACCAGTGATGATGAGCTTTTTTTCATATGTTTGTTGGCCGCATAAATGTCTTCTTTTGAGAAGTGTATGTTCATATCCTTCGCCCACTTTTGATGAGGTTGTTTTTTTCTTGTAAATTTGTTTACGTTCTTTGTAGATTCTAGATTTTAGTCCTTTGTCAGATGGATAGATTGCAAAAATTTTCTCCCATTCTGCAGGTTGCCTGTTCACTCTGATGATAGTTTATTTTGCTGTGCAGAAGCTCTTTAGTTTAATTAGATCCCATTTGCCAATTTTTGTTTTGTTGCCATTGCTTCTGTTATTTTAGTCATGAAGTCTTTGCCCATGCCTATGTCCTGAATGGTATTGCCTAGGTTTTCTTCTAGGGTTTGTATGGTTTTAGGTATTATGTTTAAGTCTTTAATCCATCTTGAGTTAATTTTTGTATAAGGTGTAAGGAAATGGTCCAGTTTCAGTTTTCTGCATATAGCTAGCCAGTTTTCCCAACACCATTTATTAAACATGGAATCCTTTCCCCACTGCTTGTTTTTGCCAGGTTTGTCAAAGATCACATGATTGTAGATATGTGGCATTATTTCTGAAGCCTTTGTTCTGTTCCACTGGTCCACATACCTGTTTTGATACTGGTACCATGCCACTTTGGTTACTGTAGCCTTGTAGTATAGTTTGAAGTCAGGTAGCATGATGTCTCCAGCTTTGTTCCTTTTGCTTGGGATTGTCTTGGCTATATGGGCTCTTTTTTATTTCCATATGCATATATATGTATCCAATACAGGAACACCCAGATTCATAAAACAAGTTCTTAGAGAGCTACAAAGAGACTTAGACTCCCACACAATAATAGTGGGAGACTTTAACACCCACTGTCAATATTAGACAGATCAATGAGACAGAAAATTAACAAGGATATTCAGAACTTGAACAACTCTGGACCAAACCAACCTAATAGACATCTGCAGAACTCTCCACCCTAAATCAATAGAATATACATTCTTCTAGGTACCACATCGCATTTATTCTAAAATTGACCACATAATTGGAAGTGAAACACTCCTCAGCAAATACAAAAGAATGGAAATCATAATAGTCTCTCAGACCACAGTACAATCAAATTAGAATCAGGATTTGATTTCTTAATCAGGATTAAGAAACTCACTTAAAACCACACAACTGCATGGAAACTGAACAACCTGCTCTTGAATGACTACTGGGTAAATAATGAAATTAAGGCAGAAACAAATAAGTTATTTGAAACCAGTAAGAACAAAGACACGATGTACCAGAATCTCTGGGACACAGCTACTTTCTCTTTTTCAATCTGAATCTCTTTTATTTCTTATTCTTGCCTAATGAATCTCCTCTACTATGTTGGTTAACTTATGGCTAGAACCTCCTCTACTATATTGAGTAGAAGAGGCTCATGGAAAGTTATTAAACAGTGATAGCCATATAGAATTACTTTTACATTAGCTATCCAAGCATTTTGATATTGTTTCTTTTACCACTCATCCATTTTAGAATAGTCTAAGTAAAACTTTAAGATTTTATCTCTCTTAAAGAACTGGTATAGCTGCCTTACTGATAAGAAAATAACGTAGCCGATTGTATTTTCTTTTTTATGTAGTCTGTCAGCAAGTTCAAGTGAAATGCCCAAAACCAATGGCCAAGAAATGCCATTCAATTTCTTGGAGAGAGAGAAAGATATACTGTGAAAATATATATATGTATATTCCATGGAATTGAATATATATATATATATATCATATTATATATATTAATATATGTTATATATATATATACATACACATATATGTTGAGACGGGGTCTCACTCTATTGCCCAGACTGGAGTGCAGTGGCATGACCTCAGCTCACTGCACCTTCCGTCTCCCAGGTTCAAACAATTTTCCTGTCTCAGCCTCTCAAGTAGCTGGGATTACAGGCATGCACCACCATGCCTAGCTAATTTTTGTATTTTTAGTAGAGACAGAGTTTTACCATTTTAGCCAGGCTGGTCTCAAACCCCTGACCTCAAGTGATCCCCCCACCTCGGCCTCCCAAACTGCTGGGATTACAGACGTGAGCCACCATGCTTGGTCTTCTTGGACTATATTAATACTACCATATTAGATATAATAATTGACATTTTTCACTTTCATCTGTTTTTTATTGTACACATTAAACATGTAAAACATGATGTTTTGATATGCTTGAGATACACACACACATACACACACACATTCACACAGCATTTACTTTAGTCAAGCAACTTAACACACCCATTATCTCATATAGTTACCTTTCTGTCTTTCTTTTATTTTGTATGTGTTAGGAGTACCTAAAATCTACTCACTTGTGTGCCTTCTTTTTGAGGGTTTGTTTTTCTACTTCTATTTTATTACAATTATGAGTTATGTAACTTTTTGTTACATAACTGAAATTATATATGCTGCTAAATTTAGTTAGCAGTTTTTATAGTTTATCAGGCTATCAGGCAAACTTTATTTACAATTAGATCTCATTACCAGTCTCTTCTTGAAACATTTTGTTTGCCCTCTTGGCTTTTATGATTGTCTCTTAGTTCTTCACACATCTCTCTGGCCACTCCTATCTTCTCTGTGAGCTTTCTGTACGTCCTCCATGTTGACATTTTCCAGGATCCCATCCTGGGCCCTCTTTTCTTCATTATCTACATATATCCTGATAGTGCATTCTGCTTCATGGCTTCAAGTAGCATATATGTATTGATAACTTCCAAATCTATATTTCCATCCCAGGTCTTCTTCCTAATTATCTGCAAGAACTGTCCATTTGGGTTTTGGACATCTTCCTGTACATCCCAGGGGCATACTAAGCTCAGTATGTAAAATAAAATTCATTATACCCCTCACCAAACCAGCAGTCAAAATAAATAACTTACTCCTTCTTCTTTCTATACACTGAATCTCAGTGCATGGCCCAGCACTGCTCAAACCAGAAACCTGGGCATCACTCTTTACTAGTTCTTCTCCACTGACACAATTCCTTCCCTCCATTTACCACATCTTGTTGACTCTAATGCTTAATTGCCTCTGAAATACGTTTATTTCTCTGTAACCCCATTTCTTCTTCCATAATTTGAGATGTTATCTCTCATGGAGATTAGTTTAATAGGAAATTATTATCTTAAAAAAAAAACTCATAAATCCAAGCTGTATTAGTCAGCCCATTTTCATACTGCTATGAAGAAATGTCCGAGACTGGGTAATTTGTAAAGAAAAAGAGGTTTAGTTGGCTCTTATTTCCACATGGCTGGGGAGGCCTCACAATCATGGAAGAAGGTGAAAGAGGAGCAAGGCACATCCTGCATAGCAGCAGGCAAGAGACCCTTTATAAAACCATCAGATCTCATGAGATGTATTCACTATCATGAGAACAGCACTGGAAAAACCCTCCCCCATGATTCAATTATATCCCACCCAACCCCTCCCACGAAGGTGGGAATTATGAGAGCTACAATTCAAAATGAGGTTTGGATGGGGACACAGCCAAACCATATCACAAGCTCTTTAGGATAATAGCATAAAATAAGAGTAGTCAGTTTCTCTGAAGAGTTAATTTGTGAAAACATGAGAGAAAAAGATCTCTGCATTGGTAAATAGATAAACAATATGGTATATTCATACAATGAAATATTATTCAACTGTAAAAAGGATTGAGCCACTGATTCATACTACACCATGGATGAAGCTTGCAAAATTTATGCTAAGTAAAGGAAGAAAGGCACAAAAGGCTATATATTGCATTACTCCATTTATATGAAATGTCCAGAATAGGAAAATCCTTAGAGAAAAGTAAAAGCAGATTAATTGTTGCCAAAGAGAAAGGAGACTGGAGAGTGACTGCTAATAGATCAAGTTCATTTTTTAGGATGATGAAATGTTGTCAAAATAGACAGTGGTGACAGTCACACAACTTTGTGAATGTTCTGAAAGCTACTGAATCATATACTTTAAACGGTTGTATTTTATCACCTTTGAATTATATTTTCTTTAAATGCTGAAAAGAAAGTCTCTGAAAAAAAGTGGGAAAGGAGAATCTCTAATCTGTGTTGCTTCTTCAGTAAATATGACTTTAGTGGTGATAATATGCAAACAATATTTTATTTAGGGTTTAGTTTGTCAGGCATCTTTTATTCTAATACTTTTTCAGAGCCACCTTTCCCTAAAATATTCATTCATCTCTTTTTTAATATTTTTTCATCCTTGCATATATTTTTAAATTTCCAGAGTGCTGAAGATGAATAAAGCACAGACCTCATTCTCAAGAGAAGGTGATTTTTTTTCTTTGTTGTTACTGTCCAAAATTTATTCTTTGGGCATAAATATAATCATTGGCCTAAAACTGTGAACTGTCTACATATTGAAGATTCTCAATTAATAAATACATTAGTCTCAAAAATTTAGGAAAATTACTAGGTTAAATGTTGATATGCCATCATGTTATTTTCCATGTGTGGTAAACTTAAAGTGTACTCATGACTTCACAGTCACTATATAAAATCCCTGCAAGTGACTAATTTGAGAATAGGTCACATACATGGTCTGAAGAGATCTGAAGACAGAGGACTGAGAAGGCACATATACTAGAGTAAGAACCTGAAGATGGAGGAGGACATGGGATCAGAAACATAGCTGGATAAACTGGCTTTAACCAAAGGAAAAACAAATATGAAAATAGATAAGTTTTCAATAAGGAGTTGGGAAGTTGGTTATTACTGCCTGATGGACTTAATTTTCTTAATCACATAAGAGGTAAAAATATAAGTTTAAAAGTTGAGTTGGGGGGTTGAAGATTTGGAATAATCACTGAAGAAAATATGAGAAGTAGCTGACCATGGACAAATTAAAGGGTTAATGAATAGTTCTGCAGGTTGGAGACAGTTTCAAGAGACACCAGTATGAGAGAGCAGTGTGATCTTTCCCAGTAGCGTTGAGACAGGTAAAGTAAACAGTTAAGTCACACTATAGCGTTTATTGAGAAGTGGGAGTTTTGATGGATGGAGTTATTGGAAAAATAGCAGTAGAAAGAAACTGAGAGTGCTTGTGTAAATGTCAGTGCTAAATGAGAAAGAAGAAAAGTTCATATGGGAACTGATGAAGTAGAATAAAATAGATGAAATCCAAGAATTGGAAAATTTATATGATATAGTAAAAATAGGGTTCTGGGAGGTAAGAGGTTTTAGTAATATGTCTTTGAGGCCCGTGAGATGGCTCATGCCTGTAATCCCAGCACTTTGGAGGCCAAGACAGGTAGATAGCTTGACTCCAGGAGTTTGAGACCAGCCTTTACAAAATATGCAAAAATTAGCCAGACATGGTGATACACACCTGTGGTCTCAGCTACTTGGGAGGCTGAGATCAGAGGATCCCTTAAACCAGTGAGGTCAAGGCTGCAGTGAGCTGAGATCACACACTGCACTCCAACTGGATGACAGAGTGAGACCCTTTCTCAAGAAAAAAAAAAAAAAGAGAGAAAGAGAATATGTCTTTGAAATGTAAGATTTTATGTAGACACTATTCCATTAGTTGAAAAACTCTGTAATGCAGCATTGGAGTGAATAGAGTGTAATGGAAGAGAAAATAAATATGAAGGTAATTGAAGTTATGTAAGTTTGGGATTATGAGGCAGTTGGTTAGGTTTTTGTAATGATTATTTGAGTCCTTTAGGATAGTGTTAAAATTGAGAATTGAAGAAAAGTCTAAGCCACCTCTCAAGGACTTTAGTAAATGAAGGAGTCACCATTAGATGCCAGAAAGGAAATAAAAGGTGCTGGGTGTCAGGAGGGGCAGAGGTATAAGTTAGCATAGCCAGTTATAAACTGCAAAGAAAGTTAAACTTTCAAATAAAAGGGAAGATAGACAAGAAAAAGTAGCAACTAGCCAGAAATATTACAACCTAGGAAGAAGGATAAGTTCAGCGGAAACAGCGTGTTTAAGGAAATACTAGGTTTTAGTTAAGATAAGATAAAGGTTGATACTGCATTCTGTGTAGTGGAAAGGGTTCCCCTTGCTATTGGTGTTGCCACACTTTTGGGGTAGTCATTTCTACTAACTGATGGTATTTCTAATTCGATACCACATCACTTAGTCAATTTGATATGAAATTGGAGATCAGTGTTAATTTTTTTAAAAAAAGTTTTAAGACAGAGTCTCATTCTCCATGTTGCCATCACAGCTTACTTCAACCTTGATCTTCCGGGCTCAAACAATCCTCCTACCTCAGTCTCCTAAGGAACTATACAAGTACATGCCACCATCCCTGGCTAATTTAAAAAAAAAAATTAGTAGAGATGAGGTCTCGCTATGTTACCTACCCAGGCTTGTCTTGAACTCCTAGCCACAGGCGATCCTCCCACTGAAGCCTCCCAGAATGCTGGGATTATAGGCATGAGCCCCACAGCCTAAAATTTATTCCCATATCATACATAAATTTTAAGAGACTTTTACAGTTTTACCTTGTAATACAGTTAGTAACTTCTATTAATTTGTATTTCTGTGATAACTGATTATTCTATCCTTATTCAGAGATGCCTGCACAGATTAATTTTTACTGATTAATTAACTTTATTATAGATAAAATAGCAATTTAGAGTTATATACATTAAAAATGTTCCTTATCTTTAATATATTCAACTTTTGTTTTATGGCATTACCACTATTGATTAATCTATAGGTAAATAGCATTTCTATTAACTTGTCTGCTACAGGGATAAAATGCATTTTTATGCTCTTTTCATATTTAATTCCTAACATTTTTCCCACTGATTGTACATTAAGGAGTAAAATGAATTTAGTATGAAAGTAGAGAAATCATGAAATTGGAATGAATTCTACCGTATGAAATAATTATAGTAGAAAAAACTGCTACTGTAGTTTCCATCATATTCAATATTTATTTTTAAAAGCAAAAAAGGACAATTAATCTATAGTTGTTATTCTTAACTAAATGCAATATTCTGACCAGTTATTCCCTCATAATCATGTTTATCCCTCATGATATACAAATTTAACATACAGAATTTTGAATTTTATAGATATAGTAAAATAAAAATTTTGAAATGAAAGAACTTTCATGCATGAATATTATTTTGTTAGATGCCATGACATTAGTATAGTGTGGTACTATAGTATGACTTTATTTTCAAATTCTGGTTCTCCATACAGAAAAATGAGATCTAATCTTCAGGATACAAAAGTGGAAAAAAAAAAAATCCAAGAACACCTGGCCTGAGACTTTAGTATTTTAAGGAAGAAACAATTCCAGTCTTTATTTTTTAGCCATATCTTGACTTCAACCCTTTATACTCCTCCTTGACTCTTCTCCTTCCAGGATCTTGCCTTTGTTCCTTGTGTGTATGTTCACTTTGATTATTCTACCTGAAATGTGGCTTCTGGTTTCTTTATGAGTAAAGTACCTACTCATCCTTCACCACTCAACTCACATGTGAATTCTTCCATGATGCACCTTCTCTTCTCTTCTTCACAGCTTATATATAATATTCTTTTAAAATAATAGTTTCTCTTGTGGCACTCATTTTCTTTCCTGTAATACAGTTATTTAAGTATATATTTAGTCTATCATTGTTGATTAGTTGAGTATAGTATGTCTCTCATCTTTTTACTGTTCTGCCTTCCAATATCTAGAATATTTCATACATAGTAGGGACTCAGTAAAAGTTTGTATATGAATAAATTTGATTATAATAAAACAGTGAAATTTTACAGGTGTGAAGAAAGTTTACAGCGAAAGTTTATGTAGGAATGGAGCTTCCAACATAGTACTTCTAACATAATTCAATAACCAATATGCTCATCACAGTCTTCTTTGACAAAAATTTTTAAATAGTCCAGGACAGGCTGGTATTGGTGGCTCACATATGTAATCCTAGCACTTTGGGAGGACAAGGCAAGAGGATTACTTGAGCCCAGCAGTTCAAGACCACCCTAGGCAACATAGCAAGACTTCATCCTTACAAAAACTAAAAAGAAATTACCCTGTGGTGGCACATGCCAAGACTGAGGCAGAAGGATGGCTTGAGCTCAGGGGGTCAAGGGTATAGTGAGCCATGATCACACCATTGCATTCCAGTCTCAGCAACAGAGAGATCCTGTCTCAATAAATAACAAATAAATAAATAGTCCAGGTGTCTTTCCTCCCTCCTCCAATGGAAATAAATTTCTATTTCAGAAATCAGTAGAAATTACTTCATAGTTGTGTATTTCATGGCTCATATGTATTCCATTTAGGAAAAATTTGGTTGGTTGGTTGGTTGGTTGGCTGGTTGGCTGGTTGCTTTGCTGATTTGATATATGATGAATAGTCATTTCTCTCATTTTTACATCTTTCAACAGTATTCTCTTTACACTATTCTTTTGGGGCATATTCCAAGATTGGTATGAGTTCACCTAATGTTTAAATTCTAATGATCTCTTTTGTTCATTTTTATTTTATTTTATTTTTTTAATTTAAAAGACAGGGGTCTTGTTTTGTCACCCAGGCTGTAGTACAATGATACAATCATAGCACACTGCAGCCTTCAATTCCTTTGCTCAAGCAATCTTCCTGCCTCAGCCTCCCAAGTAGCTAGGACTATAGGTGTGCACCACTATGCCTGGCTAATTTTTTTTTTTAATTTTCATTTCTGTAGAGATGGGATTTTGCTGTGTGCCCAGGCTGGTCATGAACTCCTGTTCTCAAATGGCCTTCCCTCCTTGGCCCCACAAAGTGCTGGGATTACAGGCATAAACCACCATGCCCAGCCTTTTGTTATCTCTTCTTAAGGTTTTCTCCCAGTCTTGTTAGATTTCATACAGGATTTTTAGATATAACATAATGATTACCATTTAGAGATGGCAAAAATAAGAAAATATGTAGAATTAGTCTTCTAGGACTTTCTATGAAAATATTTTGAGTAGATACATAGTTGTCTGAAAACAATTGTGTATTTTCTAGATAGTCTATTATTTACTCAGCTTTCTTTTACTATTTCTGTATCTCATACTATGAATTGCTACCTTATGTGGTATACCTGTCATATATAGAGACCTATAGTTTCAATCTGGCACCTTGAGGATTAGACTGTCTTGCTTTGCTAAGCTGTGAATGAGAACTTGATGCTTGTTACACTGACTCGTCGTAAGTATACAATGAGTCTTGATCACTTTTCATCATCCAAATTTTTAGTATTATAAGAAATAATGCCTTAAGTTCTCTAAAAATATGCATAAGAGGTAATATAGCATAATGATTAAAAGTTAATTCTGGATTCAGACAGAACTCTATTGAGTCCTAGCTTTGCCAGTTTCTAACAATATAAACTTAGGAAAATAATACTCTTCATGTACTAGAGATAATAATAGTAATTTTCTTAGAGGGTTGTCATGAGAACTCAATGAAATAATGCCCTTAAGGCATTTAACACTGTTTCTGGCACATGACAAGCATTTCATAAATAGTAGCAATTGGTTTTAAAAAATGAATCAGAAAGACGAAAAATAAATTCATAAAATTCTCACATATTTTAGCTTTGTAGAACTGCATATTCCATACAAACTTTCCTCACACTTTGCCAGATGACAATTCAGAATAGGATAGATCCATCTTGAATTTCATATAAGAGAAAATATTTTCTGAAGTACCAAAAGATTTCATTATGATTTCACAAAGCAATATAGCAGAGATTGTGGACAATGTTTATAAGGTTTGTTTCATAGTTTTATATGGTTGACCCTTAGTGGTTATGGAATTAAAATTATTTTATTTCTTAAATTGTCTTCATTTTATTGAGCAAATAATGTTAACATCTATGTGCTAGACCCTGTGCTAAAATAGGGAAAATAGTTTTTAACAAGACATATTCCTTTCCTCAAAGAGCTTAAAGTCTAGAGGGGAGATAGATAAATGAACAAATAATTACAATATAGAACAAAAAGTATAAAAAGTAATTAGATTTATTTGGTAACAAAACTTCCTATTGGTAAAACATTTTAATAAGCCACTTAAGTATTTCACTTAAAGCTCTTTTTGAAGCTCAGATTGATGGGAAATTGATGCTATAAAAGGTTATCTAAATTGCCCAATATTAGATGTGTCAAGGTAGTGATAAAAATCATATCGTTTGTAATCAAAGTTCAAGGTTCCTTCCATTTCACTACAGAATACCTTTTGAAGACATAAACTGTGACAAGAAAAATAAGTGAAACTTTCAGCATTATATAAGGTAGAAAAACATTCTCAAAAGAAAAATCTATGATTTCTTGCTGCTTCTAACCATTAAAAAGTCTTTTTCTGAATTAATAGCTTAAGAACATATTTGAGAAGCTTAAACAGTTGTTCTTATCCTTGATCCAAACCAAGCATAAGGTTTTTAAAATATAAAAAATACAGTAATTAAAATATTACATATTATTTTGCACATGAGTCTCATGGCTTCTCTTGTTTAGTCTTTTTAAAATATTCCTGCTATGTGAATCTGAGAAGGCCTCTAGCTAAACTCATTCAAAAAGTAAGAATATGAGATATTAATAGTTAGCAGTATAAAACTGAATCTTTTAAATCAGTGCTTTCCAAGTGTATTTTCAGAAAGTTAATCCCATGCATTGATGCTTTAAAAAAATTATTCCACTAAATAAATTTGAGGCCTACTACACATACTGTCCTCATCAAGAGTCATAGCATACATGAACATTCTGAGAAGTGCTATAATAAAGTTGTATTTAAACCAGCATTTTCCACACTTTGTTTATGATGGAACTATTTTCGTGTAATATTTTCAAAATTATTCAGGGAATGTGCTTAAAACTCATTGGCATGCTTTAATTTTCCATTTCAAACTTCGGCCTCTATTCTTTCAGTAAAATAAATATTTTTATTCTTGCTGAGTTTAAGCATAAAATTATGGTGCAAAATATGGGGTTGTCTGGAAGAGATCCTTGGAACTAAAAAAACTTACTGTAGGGATTGATATTATCTCTAAAGAGGCTGACAGATGGAACTAAAAATGAATTGTAAAATCAAGTAAGGATTAACAAAT